CCGGTACGGGCGCGACACTGAGGGTTGCGATCCGTTGCCGGACATGATAAAAGAAAAAAAAAAAAAAAAAAAATACAAGAACTGTCATGTGACAGATGCACAGAAGTCCAGGAAATAATCACATTGCTCCTTTCCATTTCAGGCGAAAATAGACACCACTTTGGCAAGACAGAAGGGCCTATACTTGCATCTATTATATTAGCCAAATTTCTTTTTCTCCATCAAAAAAGTTATTCAGAGAGGTTGTACCTGCCTACAGCCCTAGGATGTGAACCAGGAGTAGGGGTCGAATTACATGTAGAACCAAGAAGAATGGGCATTTGCGATCCGTACTTAAGATGTCAGCAAGGGAGCCTCTGGAAGAACTCTAAAACCAACACACAGTATCAACACAAAGGCATGTTAAAGAGAGACTGGCTCCCAGGTGAGGGCAAGAGTGAACAGATGCACACCTCCGGGTACTGTTTCTACTCTTAGGTGTACACCCATACATGTATATGTCCATACATGCCCACTTTGCAGAGAAGAGCAAAGAAAGAGAAACTGGGAATGAGCCAGAGTTCCAAGAAAAGTAGGAGAACGGAGCAGAAAAGAACTCCAACAACGGTGGTTAAGAAAGATCCAGTGGGGCCGGCCCGGTGGCGCACTGCTACAGTGCGCCACTTGGGAAGCACGGCGGCGCTCCCGCCGAGGGTTCGGATCCCACATACAGACCGGTTCCCACTCACTGGCTGAGCGAGGGGCGGGCGCAGCGCCGAGGTTGCGATCCCGTTGCCGGTCCCGGTCCGGTACGGGCGCGACACTGAGGGTTGCGATCCTTTGCCAGACACGAAAAAGACAAAAAGGAAAAAAAAAAAAAGAAAGATCCAGTGGCTTGTTTTAGGAATAAGGATTAGCCTCAAATCTCAAAGCAAGCATCAACTACACAGACACAGTTTCCTGTGTGTGTGTTCTGGGTACTGAGACTCCTGGATTCCCCCATCAACTGTAATGAGACACAACAAGGATCTAAGGACAGTCCCCCTGCACCCCAGGGACAGAGAGAGCCTTCAGGAAGAAAGTGAGCACAGCTGAGCAAATGGAAGTCAACACTTGAAGTGACCCGTGGCTCAGCCTTCAGCCCTGTGATGAATCCTCATCAGCCCACAGCTGGTGAGAGCCTGCCAAACAGCAAAGCCCCCACGTGACAATATAGAACATGCTGAACGAAACCCCAAGTTGTTTCCATCCCAATGGTGACAACTGTTCCAGCCCCTACTGCAGGGAGTGACCTAATAACAATATAAACCCAAAACAGTTATTTAAAGAAAAAATTTGAAGGACTTCCAGTTAAAGATAATAGACTGAACACATTAATTTACATTCACATCCTCTCAAAATCCCATTGAAATACCAATTAAGTTTTTTTTTTTTTCTAAAGGCATCGCCCTTAAGGAAAAAGAAAATTGGAGAGGAAACAAAATAACAAAATTATAGAAGCTGAGAAGCAGGTAGGGAACTGGTAAATAACTTGACAGACCTGAGAAAATTTCATTCTTAGCTGGAAGTGAGCAGCACCAAAATACATTGATTAAAATGGACCAACTCACAAAAGGCTGATGAACTGCTACCATAAGTGAGGGTGAACAAGGGGCTATAAAACAAAAGAAGGGATAGAAAGGTCTGTTTAAGAAGCAATTAGCAGAATACTACTGGTTCATTCTTTGGAGAAGGTCAAACAGTAGGTCCAGACTGAGTTGAAGATCAGGGTATCTTACTGAAAATATAGAGAAAAAATAATACACATTGAACTTTTGAAGTTCTCCTATTCTTCTTCCCTCTCTCCAACCCCAAACACAGAACAGCAGGCACCCAACATATACCTCTAAGCAAGGGAATGAAAAAGTATTCTTCCAGGGATCTAACCAGCCCAAGAGAAAAAACCTAGAGAGATTAGTCTGGGGGCTCTCCAGTGGAGTAGCATAGCCAGACCACCCCAGCAAGAGACCCAAAGTAAATATTCATAGGCCTTCTAATCAACTCTTCAGTACCCCATTCCAAGATCTGAGTAGACAGCGAGAAATCACCTTACATTTGAGACAAGCACCTAAGATGAAAGACAGGGACCAGAATAAACAGAAAAGCAACTTGTAGGTAAGCAAGACTATTTAGGAAAAACGCTTCAAAAGCAAACTATCAATAATATTCCCAGAGAGAGAGGATTAGATGGTAAAGTCATGAAACAAGAATAGGGAGATATCTAAAATGAAGGAAAAACAGAAAAGGTATTTTTCAAAGCAAAACTATGACAGCAGAAATAGGGGAAAGAGGTAAAAAAAAAAAAATGTCCATGAAACAGACAAAGGATAAGAAAAAAGAAAATAAGAGAACTATTTTCTAAGAAATCAAGAAGGGGGTGGGGGGTGAAGGATAACACACAGAACTAATCAAAGATATAATTCAATTGTCCCAGAACCAATGGACATAAGTCTCAACACTCAACAGCTCAGTAAGCACCCAGAACAATGGAGAAAGCTCAGTAAGCACCCAGAACAATGGAGAAAAGAAAACCACACTCACGCACCTCAGAACATGAAGGACAAAGAAAAGAGGCTACAAACTTCCCCAGTGGAAGCAGAATTTTTACAAAGGATAGAAAATTAGAAATGGCATAGGATTTCTAAACAGCAACGTGGTAAGCTAGTAAACAACGAAGGTTCTCTGCTCTGCCATTTTGAAAAAAATGAAAAAGAAAAATAAAGGAATACCTTCAACATCCTGAGGGAAAATTATTTCCAACCTAGAACCATATACCTAAGCCGAAATATGTGAGAAGTAGGATAAAGACATTTCCAGACATGCAACCTCTAAAGACTTTATCTCCCACCAAAAGAAGGGGGAAAATCTAGAAATAGTGAAATATAGATTCCAAGACATAGGGAATCCAACACAAAAGTGAATCAGAGAATTATTCATAATAACCAAAAAGTGGAAACAATCCAAATGGCCATCAAGTGATGAATAATGGATGAACAAAATGTGGGATATCATACAATGAAATATTATTCAGACTTAGAAAAGGAATTAAGTATTGACTCATGCAACAACATGGATGTACCTTGAAAACATTATGCTGAGTGAAAGAAGCTAGATACAAAAATCCATATATGGTATATGCCCATTTATACGAAATTTCCAGAATAGGTATTAGTGCTAGGGGTATGCAGTTTCTTTTGGGGGGTGGGGGTGATAAAAATGTTCTGGAATTAGACAGTGATGATGGTTGCACAACTTTGTTAATATACTAAAGACCACTGAACTTAAAAGAGTGAATTATATCTTAATAAAGCTGTGATTTAAAAAAAAGAAAAAAAGTGACACAGAGGGTGTAGGCCCACAGAGCAGCCAGGCTTCTTCTAGCTAGAGCAGGTCAGGGGGCAGCCAGAGAGACTGCCTCAGGATGCAAGTGATGGGTGACTGTAAGTGCTTGAACATACCCAGGGGATTTATATACTGAGGGAGATCTTGGAGTTGAATTACTGATAAATACACAGAACACCAAGCCCCCCCCCCCCAAAGGCAAGTACTAACTTTAGAGAAATCAAACATTCAGGAAAAATGATCATGTACCTCTCAGCTCAGATGTGGAAAACATTTTCAGAGTCATAATAACATAATCATTGAATACTGATCTAACCAAAATGACATGACTGCTAGAGAATGGGGGACCGTGTGTGTGTGTGTGTGTGTGTGTGTGTGTGTGTGTGTGTGTGTGTGAGATGTGGGGTTGGAGGAATCAAAGAGAGTTCTTCTTCCACAGTGATAAATCAAAAATTGGCAACAGACATGTTCAGAGATATTGAGGCAACTACAAAAAGAATCAGTTAAAAAGGTTTCAAACAGTTGCTTCTGGGGAGTGGGAAGTAGGGGAGATGGTAGCCAGAGGTCTTATGTCTTTTATAATAAAGCTAAGAGAACTAATGAGTTCTTATCTAAGTTCTACAAAATTTTTATTTAAAAACACAAACCAGAGGGGTGGCCAGTTAGTTCAGTAAGTTAGAATGCAGTGTTATAACACCAAGGTCAAGAGTTCTGATCCCTGTACCAGCCACGTGCCCAACACCTACACACACACACACACACACACACACACACACCCCCCAAATTTTTATAAACTATGCTAACTTAGATAAAATAGCAGCAATGCACATCAGCAGAGCAACCAGGGCAGAAGCAGCTTGGCAAGTACCCCCATATGAAGTTGGATGTAGCTGGTTAGCAGAGCCTGGTGCTAATATATATCCAAGCTGTAGAACTAACAGCCCCCTAGTCAGCCTCTATTCTCCAAATGACCTTCTAATCTTTGCCAGCCCAGGCAGCTTTCCTCCACAAGGAGATCCTGCTGGTCAGGGAGACACAGCCATCCAACCTGCTTCATGTCTCCACACTTCATTAGCAATCAAGCTCCTGGCCTTCTGCCCTCCAGGCACCAGGCCCTCTGTGAGTATATTTCAGAAGAATCAGCAATCTTCCACAGAGGAGACAGACGTTTAAATAAACTTTTTGACCTTCAATGCTAGGGACAGACCCTGGACAGTCATGAATTTATAGAAGATCTCTTACAAACTAGCCAGTCAACCTTTCTCTGCAACTATCTAACCTCCTTCTACCTTGGTTCAGTCCCTGCAGCTTTAACAAGCACGTCAGAAATGTCAATTCCACATATGAAATAATATAATTAAAAAAACCCCAACTCTATCATCCTTCCCTCATCA